AAAGCCACAGGGCCCGGAAGCAGCAAAGCCGAGAGCAGCGCCATGGGCAGGGAGATGTCCCCCTGTCTGTTCACCCCTCAACATGCTGGAACCTACAGTGGTCAGAGAGTGACTGGAGGACATGGGTGAATGGATGCCAGGGACATCCAGTCCCCCAGATGACAGCAGGCCTTTTGAACCAGAACTCTGAACATACCACGTTAATGGTGAAGGCTTAAGTTGTCACCCTAATTATTTAGGAAACACAAGGAGATAATCTCAGAGTGAGAGCAAAGCCATTTTTTAAAGAATCACAGCCCCGGTCCGGTTTGCTCAGCGGTTAGAGCATCAGCCCGCAGACCAGAGAATCCTGGGTTCGGTTCCCACTAAGGACACGTATCTTGGTTGCGGTTTGTCCCTGGCCCCGGTTGGGGTCATGTGGGTGGCAACCAGTAGATGTGTCTCTCTCACATTCATGTTTCTCCCTCTCTCTCTCCCCCTCTCTCCCACCCGCTCTATCTGAAAATAAATAAATGTCCTCGGGTGAGTTTATAAAAATAAATAAGTCCTGGCCGGTTTGGCTCAGCGGTTAGAGCATCGGCCTGCAGTCCAGAGAGACCTGGGTTCGGTTCCCACTAAGGGCACATACCTCGGTTGCAGTTTGTCCCCGGCCCTGGTTGGTCGTGTGGGTGGCAGCCACTTGATGTATTCCTTTCGCATTGATGTTTCTCTCTTTCTCTGTTCCTCTCTCTCCCTCCCACTCTACCTGAACAAAAGGTGGAAAAATGTCCTCGGGTGAGGAATAAATAAATAAATAAATAAATAAATAAATAAATAAATAAATAAAAATAAATTTCTAAAAAAAAAAAAAGGAATCACATCCATTAAAAACCACCAGAACCCATAACTCTCCTGAAGAGGCTCCATGGCCACCGGGAATGTGGGTCAGGCTCAGATCCACCATCCAGGTCAGGTTTTCATGAGACAGTGGGTGTCCAGTGGCTCTCACCCTTTTATGTCATTCTTCCTCAGCCTCAAGAAATGTATCCAAGTTTTTTCCCCAAAACCAGTACTTTTCTCAAAGACTGTTCACCACTCAAATCCTTTGTGGGATACGTGGAAGGGTACCTTTCCTCAGTCCTGGAGGTGAGGTGGAAATCCTCTGTGTTGATTGTATTAGCTTCTGATTGCTGCTGTAACACACTGTCACAGATGTAGTGGCTTAAGACAACACATGTTGATTATGCTATAGTTCTGAAGGTCAGAGTCCTAAGTCAGGAATCCTAAGTCAAGAAAAATCTGCATTTCTTCTGGGGGCTCGAGGGGTGGAACCATTTCCTAGATTCTAGCTTCCAGGGCTGCCTGCATTGCTGGGTCCCCTTCCTCCATCTTCAAAGCCAGCAATATAGTGTCCTCGAATCTCTTTCTGATTGAACTTCCTGCTTCCCTCTCATAAGGACCCTGTGGTCACACTGGGCACACCAAGTAATCCAGGGCAATCTCCCCACCTCGAGATTCTCAATTTAATCACATCTGCAAAGTCCCTTTTGCCATGTAAAGTAACATTTGCAGGTTCTGGGGCTGAGGGCATGAACATCTGGGCAGTGGGCATCATTATTCTACCACAGAAACCTCTGCCATTTCCAAACACTTTCTCCTCTTGTCTCTTTTGAAAACCCAATTCTTCTGAAGATTGTGCGTCACTTTTAACCAATTACCCACCCCGTTACCATAACCCAACGGCTCCCAGCATTGGAATCACCAGGAGAACTTTTAGAACTCCCAGTTTTTGGGTCACACCCCAGACCGATTAAACCACAGTATCTGCGGATGCAGCCAGACATCAGTACTTTTTAAAAATATCTTTGGGAGAGCATCTGAGATCTTACTCTTAGCATATGTCACCAGTTTGGCTCATATAAAGTCATAAAAATTCAAATGTGTATATATATAAATATACACATTTATATATAATTACATATAATTATGAATTATAACATGAAGAACTTGGGGACCACTGCTATAAGGAACAGACTTCCCCTGCACCCCCCTGTGAGGCCCTGCTTGATTTGCAGGGCCAAGAGCAAAATGAAGGGGTGGGGAGACCCTTGTTAAAAACCAAGCATTTCAGTAAAAAAAAAAAAATATATATATATATATATATATAGCCCTGGCCGGTTTGGCTCAGCGGTTAGAGCGTCGGCCTGCAGTCCTGAGAGACCTGGGTTCGGTTCCCGCTAAGGGCGCGTACCTCGGTTGCAGTTTGTCCCCGGCCCTGGTCGGTTGTGCGGGTGGCAGCCACTCGATGTGTCCCTTTCACATCGATGTTTCTCTCTCTCTCTCTCTGTTCCTCTCTCTCCCTCCCACTCTACCTGAATAAAAAATGGAAAAATGTCCTTGGGTGAAGATTAAAAAAAAAAAAAAAAACCAAGCATTTCAGGACAGTAATTGCAGAGGGGACAAACCTTGAGGCCAGCACATGGCTCAGTATCTTCCCTCCACACCTGTTCTCACCTCTAATGAGGTTGGTAGCCATGTGCAGGATCCATCCAGTATATGGCCTCCAAGTCCCTTGACTCCTTCACACCAACGGTATCTGCATGCCCCCTTCACGTGGTTCATCGGTACAGCCTCTGAGACCTCGATCTTAAAGCATCCCACACTGACCCCAAGGACCTGGCTTCCTCCGGTCCTGCTCTGCTTTCTGGGGCCTCCAGTCCATTGATCCCCAACTGTTTCCCCCTCGTTTTAAATCTCCAGCTTCTCCATGTCCTTCCTTCAATGCTGATAGGCCATGAACCTACACTAAAATCCTGTCCTTATAGACAGGCTTCACTCTGTCCTGTGAGCCTGGTAAAACACCAACCCTCCAACTTTACACGGGTCATAGGCTGCATTAACAGATGGAAAAGCTGGAGGGGAGATTTCAGGAGGCTAATGATGCTCTATTGACATTCTGGCCACAGATCACAAACAGGCCCCCAACTCCGCGAGTCAATGCTGCCTCATTCCCTAACACATCCGTGTTTCCACTCTGCAACACAGCTATTCTTTCCTCGAATCTCCCAAACTGATCCCAATTGCTAATGACCTCAAATCGTTCATCCTTCCTAGAGAAAATAACACCCTCCCTCAAGGAGGGCCACCCAACCTGCCCGCAACTACACCTTCAAGAGCTTTCCTCCTGGTACAGCCAGCAGCTGCCTGTTTCCCAGGCTGAGCCCATCCGAGCCCAGATCCCACTCGCACCCACCTTCCCACACCCACCTTCCCTCACATTGTGCTCTTAAATGATTCCTCTCTCCTTCGCCAATTTGTATCTGTTTGACATTATGGCCATTGTATGAAAACATGCTTTAATATCTCTCTCCCAGCTTTCAAAAAGAATTCAAGTCATACCAAATATGTTCTCTGACTACAATGGAATTAAGTTAGAAGTCAATAACAGCAAGATATCTGGAAAATCTTAAAACAGTTGGAATATGAAAATATACTTCTAAATACCCATGATCAAAGATGATATTAAAAAGTAAATCACAAAGTATTTTACACTGATTGAAATGGAAACACAACATATCAATGTTTATGGGATGCCACTATCTCACTACTTAAAGAAAATGAATAGCCCTTAATGTCTCTATTAGAAAAGAAGAAAAATCTCAAATCAATGACCTGTTTCCATGGTAAAAAAAAAAATTAGAAAAAGCAAATAAAAGCCAAAGTGAGTAAAAGAAAGGAAATATAGGAAATATAATGTAACCTGAGAAAAATACCAATAAAAACAAAAGCTGCTGCCTTGAGGAAAAAAGAAGAAGGAAAAAAAGATAAACCTCTAGTCAGACAGATCAGGGGAAGAAAATATGAAAGATACAAATTAGCAATATCAGGAATAAGAGAGGTGGTAGCACTACCATGATTAATGAGGGCATATTGTGAACAAATTCATATCAACAGAGTCAACAACTTAGATGAAATATACTCATTTTTTGAAAAACAAAAATTAGGCTCACTTGAGAAGAAACAGAAAATCTGAATACCCCTATATCTTTAAAATAGAGTTCCAAATAATCTGTAGGGGGTGGGATTAATTTAGTCACAACAGGGGACTGCACATAGCAGGTGCCCACCTTCCTGACCTCACCTGTTGACTTGAGAAGGTGGAGTCCAGGTGACAGAGGCTCTGCCGCTCTGCTAGGAAAAAGCTGAGTCATAATGAGATCGAACCTCTCCAAGTCACCATGAAACGCCCTGGGATCAAACACATTCAGATCACACTAAAGAAGATGGGTGGAGGAATTCTAATACCGTCCACACCTTGACACACCTCTGGGAATTCCTCTTCAGTTGAACTTTGTGGGTACACAGATTTTACTGGAGAGAAAAAATTATGCATGTCACCTTGGACAAACCTAAAATGCAGACACTTAGCCCCCGTGGGGGTTATGTAAGGATCAAATAAAAACATTCCAGTAAAAGGCTTGGCACAAGGTAAGAGCTTCATAAACATTCCCTCCCACTTGGGGGCGCACAGGGAATCACACAGAGCCATGTATCAGGCCCACCCCTCTAAATCTACTCTTAGGAACTTTTTGCTCTAATTCTCCCTCGAGTTTCTCTTATGCAAGCAACGGGACCTATGTTCTCAGAAGCAGTTACCGTGTCTAAAATTTCATTCCATTTTAAGGAATGGGCAAACATTCTCATCCTACGGGGGATGATGGGCGCACACCAAAGAAAATCTCAGCACTTGCTTTTCTCCGCTTGGGGTTCAACTAAAATAGTTTCTTCTGCCCAAGTGCCATGAATCTCTAGATCCTACCGACCTATCCCCATCGGGTTTTGCTCTGGGAGAAGGACAACCGCTCCACCCGCAGACCATGGCTTGACTCAGAGGAGGCTGAGGACGCAGCGCGGGCAGCGGGCAGACCAGGGAATGGGGCGTTACGAAAGCTTCGGGAACAGAAGGCCCCTCCTTGGAGGGAGGGACCGACGCCCGGGCCTCGTTCTTCAAAGTCGCAGCACTGAATCCCGCAACTCAGTTCTGTGCGAGTTCTCTGACTGAGGCCGGGGCTTCGGGTAGCTTCCAGCCCGATCCACTCTTCACGCACGTACCCCGCGTGCCCCGCACCCAGCCATGTCGTCCTGCAGCCGCGTGGCGCTGGTGACCGGGGCCAACAAGGGCATCGGCTTCGCCATCGCACGGGACCTGTGCCGGCAGTTCTCTGGGGACGTGGTGCTCACGGCGCGGGACCCGGAGAGGGGCCGGGCGGCATTGCAGCAGCTGCAGGCCGAGGGCCTGAGCCCCCGCTTCCACCAGCTGGACATCGACGACCTGCAGAGCATCCGCGCCCTGCGCGACTTCCTGCGCAAGGAGTACGGGGGGCTCAACGTGCTGGTCAACAACGCGGGCATCGCCTTTAAGTGTAGGTGCGGGAGTGGGAGTTCGCGGGGCGCCCCGAGGGTGTGGGGCAGCGAGCCGCAGGAGCCCCCACCCACCCACTTGAGTGATCAGGGAAGGCAGCGTGCGCCCCTCTGGTCTCCCGCGGCGGGTCCCCGCTTCCCGGAGTTGCGGGAGCGGTTCGCTCAGCACCAAGCGGGCCCGGGTGCTGGGCACCGCGTCCCCCGCCCGCCCGCCCGCCGTCCTGTGCGGGCCTGTGCACCGCCCAGGGCCCTCGCCGAACTGTCAGCTGCCACAGTTGGCAAGTAAACCGCCTCCTGGGAGGGGACCACGCCCTGCTTAGTTCAGCAGCTCTCTGTGTAATACAAGAAACATTTTCTCTGGAAGGGTCTCCGAGCTCGCTTTGGGCTTTCGTTTTCTTGAAAGGGCGCATTCACAGCCGCCAGGAGCCATCTGCCCCGGACAGGAAATGAATCTCGGAGATGATTAGCGCGCACTTGCACATTAGTGGACTAGAGGCTCTGTTTGCTGGAGAGCGTTGATAGGCTCTGGCATAAAGGAAGCGAGCCTGTTCCCTCCCCTGGAAAACTTGTGTTTGTTATCAAACACACTAGGGTGGTTTTAAGTAGCATCTTTGATACTTTGGGGGACAGGTAATCGAGGCGATTACTTACTCTATTACTCGATTAAGAAAGTTATTGAGCTGCCAAGTGCTGCGGGTAGAAAGAATGAACAGACCAACCTCACTTACAGCTTAGCGAAGAGAAACCTAGAGGCAGAACGGAGTAAAACAAACTGTTGCGAAGCATGAATCGTCATCCCCTTGGCCTTGGGTATTCCCATGGCTGTGTACCGGTACCTGCAACTCAGTCTTGGGGCTTTCTGGGAGCGACCTCTACAGCCAATAGCTGAGGGACTGGTGAATAAATACCCGACTTCCCAAACTGCACGTGGGGAACACTAACGTGTGTAGGAAGCCTTGCCCCTCAAAGTGTGGGCAGTGGACAGCAGCACCTGCAACCCTGGGCACTCGCTGCAATCACAGAACTTAAGGCTTTGCCCCACACCTGCTGAATCAGAATATGCATTTTAACAGAATCCCCAGGTGCCCCCTCTGCCGGTCTAAGTTTGAGAAGCAGTGGTCAAAGTCAGGCTCAGTGCAGACCAGTAGCTAGATGTAGGGTCCCCTGCGAACTCGTTACAAGTGCAAATGCTGGCTTCCACCCAGACCTTCTCCATCCAAACTGGGGTTGGGGCCCAGAAAGGTGTGTTTTAACAGGCCCTGCAGGTGATTCAGATGCAAGGTTGAAGTTTGAGAACTGCTGACCTAGTGGTTTAAAAATTGTTGTTATTAGTCTTTCCCCCTTTAATTAGAGATAAGATCCACTTGTCATGTGAATTTCAGGGGGGAAATGCCTGACTTGTCTCTGTTTCCTTCTCATTTTGAAAGTTGATGATCCAACGCCCTTTGACATTCAAGCTGAGATAACACTGAAGACAAACTTTTTTGCCACGAGAAATGTCTGCAACGAATTACTGCCGATAATAAAACCTCATGGTGAGTCCCATGTGTGGATTGTCAAGTTGCATCCCCCAGCAAGGAGTAAGCCATGGGGCTACACTTCCCAAAGGAATTACCCAAGGGTGCTATTTCTCCACAGGGGAAAGGTAGAAAATGACATTATTTTTTTGATAGTACTATATTTGGTTCTTCCCCCAAACATTTTAGCTTTAGTTTTAAAAGTAAATAAAAGTTATGGCAATGCTCTTGGGTCTCACATGTCATGAACTCAACCCTAGAATAATGTATTGCAAGTCTCAAAAGTCCTCTTGCCTTTTTGCATCCTCGGTGAGCCCTCCTCCAGCTCCCCATGGTGACAGGGCCATATCCAGCTCATCTGAGGGTATGGGGAGGGGTACTATCTGTCCTAGCATTATTATGACTTTCCCTGTATTCCTTTCTTCTTGTACCAAACTTTGTCTACCCGATTCAGAACACCCACAAGAAAATTTTCTTTATTAGGAAATATCTTGCCCACGCTCCAAAGCTTTCAATAAGTAACTTTAATTACTTTTTCCACAAATATTTACTGAGTGCCTGTCATAGCCCAGTCATTACTCTAGGTGCTAGGTATACTATAGGCCAGGATAGGCGTGCCCTTGGAGCACAGAGTCTAGTAGGGGAGACCATCATTAACAAAGAACCATGTTTCCATCACAGCTGTGCTGAAGGGGTGGGGCTTTGGCTCCCTGAGGATTTTCTTTTCCAAGAAGTCAACTGTGATTCTAAGAAAAAAACAACTCTGTGGTTCTTAGTCTAAATGTGCTTTTAGAAATTTAATGTTTTGAATAAAGATGATCTCTAGTGCACCAATTTGAAATCTAAAAAGTTGCCTGGTGAGAGCTGTACCTATACTGCATCCCACCACCAACTTGCCCAACTCCACTGTCCACCCTCCACAGGTTAATTCTCTTCATTGATTTCTTAGTGGGGTGGGGTCATGAAAAATCCATAGGTAGAGCTGCAGGTAGTGGCTGACGGAAGCCTTGTTCCAGGTTCATGGAATTGGTGAGGGCCGGGGCCAAGAGGATGGAATCTTAAATTCAAATCTAAGCAAATCTAAATACATATTTTTTGCTCCCTTTTTTTATACAAAAGGGACATTAAGAATAGTGTTTGCCACCGTGTTTTCTTCATTTACTCTATCTAGGGCTCTTTCCAGATCAAGACAAAGTTTTCTTACCCTTTTTTTTACTGCTGCATAGGATTTCATTGTAGGGGTGTCTCTTACATAGGATTTCATTGTAGGCAGTTGTGTCCCTATGGATTTTAGAGTCATAGAATTAGAAAGCTGCAAGGTACTGAAGAAACCTTATGTTCCTGCACCTTCACTTTCAGAGAAGGAAACTGAGGCCCAGAGAAGTGAACGGAGCCAGGTGGTAATGGAGCTGGAAACAGTATCCATGTTTCCCCGACCACACCCCTCAAAGCAGGATAATTAGTTCTAGTGAAGTAAGGATTGCAGCGCCAAGTGATTGCAAACCAAGCCATTTTGAAAGAGAAAAGGCGGCTCTAGGGAGGATGGGGCTCAGGGATCAATGCAGAACATGTGAATCACTGCCTTTAATTCATTCTGTAACAGTATTTCCCAAAGCAGAACCTCTGCTTGACAACGCATTGAGAGTATTTGTGACTTCAGTAAACCTCACGTTTACCTGGAGGGGAAAATGCTGAATATTGTTGTCTCTTGATTTGTAGGGAATTGTTTTCTCCTTGATTTAAAAGCCACTCTTTATTTAGGTTTATAATATCACTTTTTAAAAAGTTATTTCTTTAAAGCAAGTGGCAAGCCACTAGAGGGAGCAGCTTGCCCACTCTTTCTAAGAAGGGGTTTGTTTCTGGATCAGTGAGGCCACCTGGACCTCAGCAGAGAGGATGGAGGTGGTATGGGTACATCACTTCTCAGGCTGATTGGACCCACCTGGCTGTTGAGACTGTTACCCCTTGGCCTCTCCCAGAGGTGTGCCCTCAGATCAAAGAGGACACTTCTGCCCTGGCTGGTGTGGTTCAGTTGGTTGGAGTGTCATCCTGTGCACTGAAGCATCGTGGGTTCAATTCCCAGTCAGTTGAAATGTGTGCAGGAGGCAACCAATCAATGTTTCTCTCTCAAATAGATCTTTTTCTCTCTCTCCCTCTCCCTTCTTCTCTCTCTAGAATCAATGAAAAAAATATATATCCTCAGGTGAGAATTAAAAAAGGACATTTCTGCCCTGGCCGGTTTGGCTCAGCGGTTAGAGTGTCGGCCTGCGGTCCAGGGAGACCCGGGTTCAGTTCCCACTAAGGGCACGTACCTCGGTTGCAGTTTGTCCCCGGCCCTGGTTGGTCGTATGGGGGGCAGCCACTCGATGTATCCCTTTCATGCCAATGTTTCTCTCTCTCTCTTTCTCTCTCTCCCTCCCACTCTATCTGAACGAAAAGTGGAAAAGTGTCCTTGAGTAAGGATAAAAAAATAAAAAAAGGACATTTCTTCCTCTTAAAAGTTTTTTTATTTCCATCAGAAGCATAGGGTAGCTCCTGTAATTTGTTTTTCTTTTCTATCTTCCTTTCCCTTTTAAATTTAATTCCCTGTAGCAGCCAAGTGACCGGGAACAATACAGTTTAGAAAGTAATGAAGAACACAACATCTCCGATGTAGTACTCCTGGCCAAAATATTGAAGTGGATCTATCTAATCATGGGAAAATCAGGCCAATCCAAATCGGGGGAAATACTGCAAAATAATGGCCTAGAGTCTTCAAAAAGTTCAACTTCTCTAGATTAAAGTGGACTAAAGAGATAAGACAATTAAATACAATCCATGATCTCACATTGGACCCTGGATGAAAAAAAATAAAACTTATAAGATTACTGAGACAAATGGGGATATTTGAATTGGACTAGCCTTTGGATCAGTGAGTTTCAACCTTTTTCATCTCATGGCACAAATAAACTAAAATTCTGCAGCACACCAATATATATATTTTTTTGCTGATCTGACAAAAATTTAATTGATTTACAAAAAAATAATAATAATAGCAATTACCTACCTGTTTTGCTCCAAAGTTACTTTTTTAAAAAATCAGGCACCTATGCTTGTACATAAGATTTCTAGTACCAAGAATTAACCAATCAAATGCAACTTTATTGTGCAATGTGACCATTAAGATACAACTCTATTATATGACCTATATATTGATGGTTCAAGACAAGGCATTCACACCGGACAGCTATTGTTGTATTGGCTGTTGTCATTTTTTTGTTTGATAATGTAAGGGAAAACAGGTCAGTGCCCCTGACTAGTCAGGTATCGCATGTTTTAAAAATTCTTAGGGCATGCCTTGGCCAGTTTGGCTCAGCGGTTGGATCGTCGGCCTGCGGTCCAGAGAAACCCGGGTTTGGTTCCCGCTAAGGGCACGTACCTCGGTTGCAGTTTGTCCCCGGCCCTGGTTTGTCGTACGGGTGGCAGCCACTCGATGTGTCCCTTTCACGTCGATGTTTCTCTCTCTCTCCCTCCCACCCCATCTGAGCAAAGAATGGAAAAATGTCCTCAGGTGAGGATAAAAAAAAAAAATTTGTAGGGCACACAGGTTGAAAATCACTGCTTTAGATAATAGCATTGTAACATGATAATGTCTTGAGTGTGGCAAAATGTTAATTGGTAAACTTAGGTGAAGGGTTTATAGGTATTTATTGACTTATTCTTACAACTTCTCTATAGTTTTCAAATAAAAGTTAAAACTGGGAAGAAAATGTGTGTGTGTGTGTGTGTGTGTGTGTGTGTGTGTATTACCAGAGAGAAGTAATGAAAAAAGGAAAGGAAGAATATACTGAAGATTCTTAGATACCTGGAGATTAGTGGGTGCTCTTGTTCAGGGTCAGAGTAAATGTACCTCCGTACAGGGTTTGTACCTGTGGTGAATGCCACTCAGAAAAGGAAATAAAATCCAGTTACACTATTGGATGCAAAGAATGTGAATTCAGAATAAACACATAAGAAAAGAATTCCCCCAAATTGGCGGTTGTCTTTTTAAATCCTCACCCAAGGATATTTTTCCATTGTTTTTGTTGTTGTTGTTGTTGTTGTTGTTGTTGTTGTTGTTTAGATAGAGTGGGAGGGAGGGAGGGTGGGAGAGAGAGAGAAACATCAATGTGAGAGAGACACATCGATTGGTTGCCTCCCAAACAAACCTGACCAGGGCCAGAGATCAAATCCTAAACTGAGGTACATGCCCTTGATTGGGAATCAAACCCCAGACTCTTTGGTCTGCTGGCTAATGCTTTAACCCCTGAGCCAAACTGGCGAGGGTCAAATAAAATAGGTGTTTATCAATATTGGATGAAATGTGTAAATTCACACGAGTACTGGTTCTTGGATTTCCACCAACACTTCAAATTAGTTTAGTTTTGGCCTGAATATTTGTGTTTACGGACAGAACTGTGTCTTTAGTAGCTGTAAATTATTGTTAAAACGAATATTAACTCATTAACTAATTACATTTAATTATTTATTAATGATCATTTAAAATGTAAGGAAAATCAAAACCAGGATGGAGAATCAACACACACCAAGTGTGAAAGTATTCATCATTGAAGAAGGGACAAAGGTCATCCCCAAGGCATGGCTTGACCCTAGGAAATTGTGCAGAGAGCTTAATCCTCAGAGTGAGGGCGCTGTCCCTAGGAAAGCAGGTTCAGAAGCACCTGGAGTGTGTGTGGGGAGGGTCAGAGTATTTTATAAACTACCTGGTGATTCTACTACAGATCTCACCTAATAGGGGGTCACTGCTCTGTAGCCCTTATTATGATGGAAGGGTGTTTTTCCCTTTAAGACAACTGGGGCCAAAAAAAAAAAAAGGTTAAACCCCAGTGGTGCCTTCTAGGGTCATGTTTTCTAATCAGCAATTAAACCGGCACCATGATTCAATCACAGTCCATCGTTGACATAGTCAGCCAACAACTATTTATGTGACACACTTTCATATTTTTTATTATTCTGTTTCAGGCAGAGTTGTGAATATCAGTAGTCTCCAGGGTTCCAAAGCTCTTGAAAACTGCAGTGAAAATCTGCAGGAGAAGTTTCGCTGTGAGACAATCACAGAGGAGGACCTGGTGGACCTCATGAAGAAGTTTGTGGAGGATACAAAAAATGAAGTGCATGAGAGGGAAGGCTGGCCCAACTCGGCTTACGGGGTGTCTAAGTTGGGGGTCACGGTCTTATCAAGAATCCTGGCCCGGCGTTTGGATGAGAAGAGGAAAGCTGACAGGATTCTGCTAAATGCGTGCTGCCCCGGGTGGGTGAAGACAGACATGGCTGGGGATTACGGCTCCAGGACTGTGGAGGAAGGGGCTGAGACCCCCGTCTACTTGGCCCTCCTGCCTCCAGATGCCACTGAGCCTCATGGCCAGCTAGTCCGTGACAAAGTGGTCCAAAACTGGTGAATTCCTTCTTTGGCGCTTAATGCTTAATAAATGTTTGTGGGATGAAGGAATGAATTCTGGTGTTGTAGTCTGATGTGTTTCTGTCCTTCAGGAAGGAGTGTCCCTTGGGATCTCCCCATGAAAACGTGCCTAGTTCTAGAATCGAGCTGAGTGACTTCGTTATACCCAGACTGCAGCCTGAGAGGAAGAACCCAGTCCTGTGGTTGTCAAATGTTAGTGGGCGTCAGAGTCACCTGGAGGGCATGTTAAAACATTGTCCAGAGCTGGGGCCCAGAAATGTGCATTTCTCACAAGTTCCCAGGGCCTGCTGGTGCTGAGATGGCACTTTGAGAACCACTGGTCTAGCACAAGGCCTCAGGAATATGGAGGGTTTTCCAGCTGCCCTCTGCTATTTCTAGGCTGTTGACTCTGAAGGGATGATGCTCTATCCTCTGTTTCTTAGCTCTACGCCCCTGCCTTGTATCCCATTGCTTTATTATATTTGAGTACATTTTAATTTGTTCTTATACTTATAAAGTAGTATATGTAGCTTGAAGGACCGGAGAAGAATGTCTTTTCTTCCTGAGGATGTGAGTTCTTCCATAATGGGTTTTTCTTTTAGGCTTTGCATTCTGTATTCTTCCCAGATAGTTTGCCACTTCCTTCACCTTGTTCACATGTCCAGACCATCTCTTTTCTCCAACATATGCAGATGTCTTTTCCTTAACCTGTTTGTTCCCTGCTCCCCTCTGGGCTACGGCCCACACGCCTCCTTGGGTCCGTTCTGTAGTCTCTCTGACAACAGGCAATTCCACATTCACTGCTTTCAAAAGGGATGGGTTTTGCAGCCAGCTTCCTGAGTTCTGGTTATACCCTTTAGAGACCAAAGAGAAGAAATACATTTGCGAAGAAAGTTTGCAAAGGAGTCAAGACCTCTGTCAGAATAACTAGCCGGACAACAACACAAATATAACAGGTGCGCAGTGGACAGCATACAAAGGAAAGAAAGCCACATTTACCGAGTTTATGATGGACTGTTCACAGTGGGGAGCAGCAACACTGCTACTTGGTTATGACCACGAAGGTCACATCTCCTGACAATAGCTTTGTAGGAAAAAGGGATAGGACTGTTTTCCATTTGGGAATCAGTAAAGTATGAAAAGGCTCAAGGTTTCATTTATTTGGGGGACCAGGACTACACAGCTGACCGTGTTATTTCTGGTCTATCCCAGGGTACAAGGTATTTCTTTTTCCTAACTCTCCAACTTACAATGGCAGCATGGCAAAATGCCAGTTTAGCTCTCTCAGTCCTCTCCTTACTTTTTCAAGAAGTCTGAGTCCCACCCAGCTTGCAGTTCACTCCCTTCAGCCATTTCTAAGTTGCCTGGGTAAATACAGCATGCTCTTATGTTCATCTCAGACCATAGCTCCTAAGACATTTTAATGACTTTGTATCTGGCTCTAAAAACATTTTAATGGTTTTCGATAAATTTCCTGAATCCCTTTTACATCCTGGTCTTCCTCCACATCGCACCTCGAGTCCTGCCAATGATGAGCAGTAGCACAGGGACTGAGGAGCACTTTCAGGTCGGCCTGACGGCATCACAGACAGGAAGTGTACAAGTTAACAAACAGGCCAATCCCTTTCATTTTCTCTCCCCTTTTTTTTTTGTCTCTAGTCAAATCACACCTTGACATTTCTGGATCAGCATGTAGTCCACTTAGAAGATTCTTGATTGTAAACTGCTGATCAGAATGGTGCTTCTCATTTTGAAGGTAAAGGTCACAGGGGGCCCTTATTGGATGGTCTGGCCAGCATCCTCTTCCTAAGAATTATCTCCTGCTCCCTACACTTTGCTTCTTCCCTAGGTTTACAGCTGCAGCAGCCACAGGTGACTCTGCCCTGCGAGCTTCAGTGACTACTGAGCTCTAGGACCAGCTGCAATGGAGCAGGAAAAGCTCAGAGCGTTCCCGTGAGCAGCCCTGCCCCACCCCATGTAGTCCAAGGAGCAGTGGCAGCCAGGCACTGCCAGAGAAGGAGGCAATGGCTCTCAAAAGAAGCAGTTACAGTGTGGCCCAAAAAGAGACAGGCTCCTCCCCACGATGACACCATGGCCTCAGACCATTTTGAGATTCCTAGTTCTAAGATATGCTCCAAGATCCTCTGTATTCTTAAAAGAAATTTCCCTTTTTCTTAAGTTAGTTGGAACTGGGTTCTTGTTCCTGCAACCAAAAGGAGTCTAATAAAAGTGCATGAAAATGCTTCATGGTATGCAGCAGTGAAAAAAAAAAATTAGGTTTGGAATCAGAAGAAAGAAAAAAATATCATGAATTGAGAACCCATGGCATGGTAAGACTTTCCTGCCATTATTTTACATAATTCTCACGACCGTCCTTTGAGGTAGGTATTAACGTCATTTTTCAAATGAGGAACTAAAGGCTTGAAGAGGTTTATTAACTTGCCAAGATCACATGTGATCTGAGGCCATGAGCTGGGACCGTTTTCAGGACTGTCTCAGTGAAGGGTTCCCTGGCTCTTCTTGGAACCTAGCACTTGTCACATCCAGTTTCACTGCCTACAGACAATGGGCAACTCCCTTTACGTAAAAATTAAGGGAAGTGATACATTGAATGTAAGTGATTTGTAAGCCATCTGGTTATTAGATCCCCAAATTAGCCTCTGTGTGAACTTTTATATAAAGTAGATAAATGAAACATGGCTTAAAAGTGGCATATTTTAGCCCTGGCCCAGCAATTAGAGCTTCAGCCTGTGGTCCAGAGAGACCTGGGTTTGGTTCCCGCTAAGGGCACGTACCTCGGTTGCAGTTTGTCCCTGACCCTGGTTGGGTTGTGGGGGTGGCAACCACTCGATGTGTCCCTTTCACATCGATGTTTCTCTCTCTCTCTTCCTCTCTCTCCCTCCCACTCTATTGGAAAAAAAAAAGAAAGAAAGAAAAGAAAGGGCTTTATTAAAACTTTAAAAAATAAACCTTTAAAAAAAAAAAAAGTGGCATATTTTAAATGGGTTGTCTCATAAGATGTGTTTTTTAGGCACCAGATGGAGCCAGTGATCCCATCCACATCAGCTTCTCTGTGACACACTTTTCTAGGTTGATGAGTGTGTGATAAACCCACACACAGAATCAGCCTGAGACCTGGCTTGGACTTCTCCCTCACCTACTGAAGTGCAACAAGGATGTGACAGATCAAGCAGCTGAACAGCGATGGAGTGTGGAGATGAAACTAGTGATGATGACCATCCTATCCTGACAAAGGTTTAGCTGTTCCTGCAGGTCAACCACAAGTGGGCGCAGCACCAAGTACAGAACTATGCAGGACTTCTATCTAGATGGGTGGAGTAGAAAACAGTTTATAGAAGAGACAGGCTTAAAAGGTCACCAATATCTGCACACAGAGACTCAGAATGTGTTTACCTGCCAATCTCTCTAATAGGTGGGCCAGCCTGAGCCAGAGAATGTCGTCATTTCTGATTTATAATGCCTTCTCTATGATCAGAAGAGGTAAGAATTAAAGTTCTGATTTAAATTAAATCTGAAATGCCGTGGCTAGTTTGAGTATTATTATGCAAAAAACTTGCTCTATTTACATGTCTTAAATAGATGAACATAGCTAAATAGACTTTTAAGTGTGACAAGACAACTTAACCCAAGAAGCAGATTTCTTGTGGGAATACACTTTCAAATCTTAATGCTGTACATTTACTGTCAACCCTGGTTATAAATGGAGTTATTATTTTAAGGGTTTAAAATACAGTGACTCTTGAACAACAAGGTAGTTAGGGGTGCTGACCTCCCACACAGTTGAAAATCCATGTATACCTACTACTTGAACTTGTCAGTTACTTTAAATTAACTTCCCACACACCATCTTGAAGATGGTGACATAAATACAAGGCATGTATATTATTTTTATAAACGTATTAGAACAAAGTTGTTCCTGGTGGTTTTGACACAGACCGGCAGTTCTTTCATCTCTTACTAGTTCAATGCAGTGTGGAAAGTGCCTAGGATTGGGAAAATATCACCGTTTGTCAACTATGTTTTTGTAAAAATAAAGTTTAGCATCTTTATTAGGAAATAAATTTTCATGAAATTATTTTTTTTCTTGCAAAATGCTCAACCCTTTAGTTTTCCTCTGCTTCTACATTAAGATCATTCCCCAAATTGACGGTTAGAGGATTTACATCAGTGGCACTTGGTATATGCCAAATGGAGATGGAGAGGTAGGCCAGAGATCCAGCATCCCAAACTATTAAAATATTCTTGGTGATTCTGGAGAGGTGATAGATCCCCTTGGGAATCGGAGACAAACTATATACCCTTTCTCCAGAAACATACATATGTATATTCAAAAGGTTCTGTACAATTTATAGTGTTCATGGTCCTCCAAGGTTCCACCCCCCCCCCAAAAAAAAACAACGCTTTCATGACTGCCTTGCTTTCAGAAGCCCCAGAACAGATCTGAAAATTCCTGAGGGACCTTAAGGGGTTAAATGGGTAGAGGCCTCTACAGAAATTACAACCTCAATCAACAGGTGGCATTGCTTTGGCTGGGTAGGAGCCCCAGCTGGTGCAACCAAGGTGCTCAGGTGAACTCGGCCTGACTCTCATCCTTCAAGGTGCCTCTCGCCCTGCAGCTGTCGGTCCAGTTTGGGTGGGTCTGAACTAGCCAGTTCCGAAGGCTCCTGAGAATGACAGGAAGAGCATTAATGCTCTTTAGAGGTAACGAGAGGCCCCCTTTCTGAGCCAGAGTGCACTTAACGAAGCTCATTTCAAGAATTAATTTCTTCACCTCCTCTGATGTCAAGGGGGGGAAAGGTGAGGCCTATGGGGAAGAGGCACCTTAACCAGAGTCCCAGAGCCCCCTGCGGCCTGCTTCCTCCCGAGGGTTTGGGTGAGCCAGGTGCCATGGGTCCCACTTCTCTTGAATCCTACGGTTCTCCGGTCTATTCTGTAACTCCAAAGCCCCTCCTCAGGCAGGCTGATCCAATGACCGATGTCCCTTTTCTTTGGGTGTGTCAAGGGAGCTCCAGGTGAGAGGCGGAGCCACCCTGCCCTCCTGTGTGAGGCCTTCGGGGGCAGTCCCCTGGCGAGGGTTCAAGCTAGTTGTCCCGCCGAGAGCGATGTCCACTGTGGGAGGGAGCCCGGCGCTCCGCGGTCTGAGCAATGGACCCGCCCACTGACGCTAAGAACCCGCCTCCCAGCCCCCTCTGCACGCCGAGGTACCGCCTCCTGATCAGTCCCTGGGTCAAGGGCCCGCCTCCCGACCCCGCCCCAAGCGTCGAGGATCCGCCCGCGGCCCTGCCCCACGCATCGAGGAACCTCCCTTGGCTCCGACCTCGTTCATCGAAGACCTCTTCCTTTAGCCCCGCCCAACGCACCGAGGACACGCCCTTGTCCCCGCCCCCGCAGCCGGGGGTCTGCCTACCTGCCCCGCCCCCTAGAGCCCGCCCTCGGCCCCGCCCCACGCACTGAGGTCCGCCTCTAGCTCCGTCCCCGCGCGCCGAGGGCCCGCCTCCGGGTTCCGCTCCACCCCCTGGAGCCGTGGCCGCACGGGCTCGGGCGCGGCGCTCCCTCCGCGGTCCCGGCTCCCGGCGGCGCTGCAGCAGTCGCCTGCTTTTCCTGCCCCAGCCCGGCCGGCTCCTCCGCGCCGCCCGTGTGCGAGTCCCCGAGAAAGGCGACCGCCGCTGTGGGTAAGTCGGGCCTGCGCCCTGGGCCGCCCTGTGAAGCCGGGGAGCCGGGGCGTCTCCCGCGGGCCCGCGAGTGGCGAAGCGGCGCGGGCGTCCTCCCCCGGCAGCGCAGGGTTAAGGCGGCGCCGCGGGGGTGGTTCTGGAGTGTAGGTGGTTCCCGGAGCGCGACCCGGGCCCGCACTGCTGCAGTGCGGGGCGGCTCCGGCAAGGCTGCGCGTGGGCGTGGGCTCCGGCCCGGGACCTCCGAGGGCAGCCCAGGATGCTGGGCAGGGTCACCTCTCTGTTCCCTCCGCTCCCGGAGGGGCGGGAAGTGTTGCTACGCCCTTGTTGGCTCAGCGCGGCCTCTGGTCCGGCAGGTGGAGGTCAGGTGGGTCACAGCCCATCAGCCCCTCACCTCGGCCTGCTGACGACAGAGAAAATGTACCTTTGTTTGCTGTGCCGTCCTAGTCGGGAAGGAGGGCTAGGGACCCAGACCTTTATAAAACGAGGGCTTTCCTGTTATGGGAAAAGACCCCAAAGTCTCCCAGACTATCCCCAGGAGAAGGGATCCGAGCCGCAGTGCGCGCACTCTGCTCGCCTGGCCCCTGCTTCTTGCAGGATTGCCGGCTGTCGCGGGCGTGGGTGGCCCTTCAGCAGCTCACGGTGCAGCTGCTTATGGAGACTGTACACGCAGGTGTTTCTTTAACCTGGGACAGCTGCCGTACACTTAGGAAAACCTTGGTAGGATTTTTTTGGTAAGGAGATGGAGCCCCCCCCCCCCCCATGTCTTCAAATTTTACACAATTTAATTACCACTTGAAAGACCAAATTTAAAAAAATGTGCCCCAGAGTTGACTAAACCAATTAACCAATTGCAGATGAGTGTTTCTGTGGCTTAAGAGTCATTATCTGTTGATAAGTGTTCTTGCTCATGGGAGGGTGGCTGTCATTTTTCACTGTTTTTATCTAACTCAGAAATGTTCCTTCATGTAAACATCTTTACAATGAACTTATTTTGGATCTGGCAGTTGATTTTTCACTTGAATTTTTTTAAAGAAATTAATGTATAAGGTGAGAGACTTTCTGACATTTTAGATTTTCAGGCAGATACATCTGGTCAGATATGCTTGTTTAAGTGACGACACTTGTTTAATTGCTAGTAGGCTGTTTTAATGAGCTATGGAGTCTTGCACAGAAAAGTTATTCAGGATAGATTGCACAATCATTATCAAAAGGGCTGACCTCTTCATTTTACCTGTAGCATAGTGTAGTGAAAGCTCTGTGGCTTTGTGCTTACCTGAGCTGGAATCCTGATTCTGCCTCTTGTTTGCTGTGTGACCTGGGCAATTTTCTGCAGGTCCTGATTCCTACTCTCCTCATCTGGAGGCTGATACCCATCTCACAGGACTCTTGCGTGTAGCATGAGGTAAATGCATGCATAAATGTTGGGTTTACCAAGCCCACCCAGAAGACTTCCTTAATAGCATAATTTCGAATGCCCTATATTTTGAAATGAAGGAGCTTACCTGAATGACTACTTCCAAACTTTTCAACTGTGCTGTCAGTAACACTGACTAGTACTTTTTTCATATAGCCAGCCATAACATTGAACTGCTCCAGTCACCTGCTCTTACCTGGTCAGCACCCTCGTTGCCATGAGCAGTGATGCCCCTTTGCCACCCACCTCCTAAATACACCTTATTGCTGACAAGGCTCTCTTCCTGCTAAGTAGCTGCCCATACCTGTGGACTTTGAGGGCCTCTCTGCTGGTAGTTGGGCTTCCTCTGTCCTTTCCTCTTGCCAGTGTCACTCTGTTACTTCTGCCTACCCCCTGTCACTGTGTGTGCCATGTTAAATTGAAATTATGTAGTTAGATATTTTCTCTTTTATTAGACTATGAACTGTGAGAGTGGAACCCAGTCTTTTTCATGTGTCTTTCCCCAGTTCCTAGATATTTAATGTAGTGGACAGACTAGCATGGAGATTGCAGTGGTTCAGAGATGCTGAATTTCAGACCTGTATATTTCCTGGAAAAAAAGTTATGGACTATTTGGATGTACTGACTTCTTACTTGGCAAAATAAACTACCACTGCTGGTTACCATCCTTAATATTTTCAAAGTGTGAAGGCTATTTCAGAAAAAATGGCAGGCCTTCCCGAGAATGAGTAGGCAGTCCTCATATGCATAGTTCAGTATATTTTTGCAGAGAGGCACAGCATGTGCAAAGGCTCTGTGGATAAGTTGGTTAGAATAAACAGAGTGCCTTGAAGAGAGAGGTAGGTGGAGCCTTGAAGGCCTTGGAGTGAGTGGGGGAGGGGCTTGGATTTATTGTAAGTTTAATGGGAATAGTTTAAACATGGTGGGGATGTGTTTTAATTCATATGAAGAGGATACTTGGAGCACAGTATGAAAGTACATTGAAGAGGGGCAAGCATGAAGGGGAAGAAAGCATTAGGAGGCCTCTGCAGGCTTGCAGGGGAAAGTTGCCTTGCACAGTGGTGCAATAAAGATGGAGAGAGAGTCCACAGGTGTTATGGGAGAAGAGCCAACTGGACTTGTTTTGAGTGTGGCAGGTGAAGAGAAGGAAGAGTCCAGAATGATGTCAAAGTTCCCATCAGTGGTGGAGCCACTTTCTGAGTCCTACACTTCTGAGGAAGGGTAGACTGGGGAGCTAGCTGAGCAGATAGAAACAAGAGTATAGGTTTTGTTTTGTTTTCTAAACAGCCTTGCTGAGATATAGTTTGCAGACCATAACATTCATTCGAGTATTCAATTCAGTGATTTTTAGTAAATTTGCAGAGTTGTGCAGCCATCATCATAATCCAATTTTAGCACATTTTCATTTCCCTAAAAAGATCCCTTGTGCCTATTTGCATTTACTCCGTTTCTACTCCCCACCCTCAGCAACCACTGATCTACTTGCCTACTCTATAGATTCAGCTATTCTGGGCATTTACTACAAATGGAATCATACGTGGCCTTTTGCGACTGGCTTTTTCCATTAAGTGTGTATTTTCCAGGTTCATCCTTCCTGCAGTCCCTACCAGTACTTTGTTCCTTCTCATTGCCGATTAGGATGTATGTTCCTTCACTGTGGCCAGTAAATGAATGTGGCTAGACCACATTTTGTTGAGGGACACTTGAGAGTCTAATTTGGGATGCACCAGTTTGAGACACCCATGCTACATCCAGGTGGAGGGGTCGAGTAGACATTTACATGACTCTGGACATCAGAGGGGGAGGTTTGGGTGGGTATTACAAATCCATGGGTCGTTGGCATGAGGATGGTATTTATGAGTTATAGGAATGGGGAGATCACTGAGGATAAAGAGAAAGAAAAAGGACCTAAGGCTTGGTGCCAGGAATGCCAATATTTCCATATTTTGTCAAGTATTTTTCAGAACTCTGATTTGTTTAAATAGACTGATGGGTTGACCTTCAGATTTTTTTTATAGGAAATATTTTTATTTCAAAACATGTATTGAAGGCATTCTAAAGCCATTACAGGATTCTGGACATGTAATCCTATAGAAGAGACAAATAAATACACACACCTGCCCCACCCTCTGGGTGCTAGACACTAGAGGGAGGGTGTCCTTTAGTACCTATCAGCCTCTGAAGTAATAAATATAGAATACTTCATAGATCAGCATTAAATACTACTACAGAATATTTTAATGAAGGAATAAAAACAAAATGACGTAAGCGTGCATGTTTACGTATAAGCATTACGACATATAAATGATGGGTGTTTTCACAAAGTCACGTCAGTGCAGCATTACCTGTTCTTTATTTCCTTTTGTCACATTGGGGATAAAAATAAAAGTAAGCAGTTGCTGTTGGAGTTAAGATTAGACCCTCTACATCTTGGACTTTACCATAGCTGCAAAATGATGGTTGTTGGGCCCTGGTGTAACCACCCTACATCCAGACTATATGCTCTGGCCTAAAGCTGTCAGGGCAGCACCTGGGGGGGCTGGTGGGTGATTGGAGCTTAGTAACGGAACAGGCTGTCAGATACTACACTCCTACATCCTCATGTTTTTAATTTTTTTTGTCCAATCCTCTATTCTAATCTAGTTGTAAAGGGTTGGACTGCCAAATAGGTTGTTTCCTTGGGTTTTATAAATGCCCTACTATGGGAGGGGCCATCTGCATTCAGAATTACCCATCGGCAACAATATGTAATTAGCTGATTTGTGTGTTTTGCTCCTAGAATTAATTTTCTCAATGAAGTAAAACCTTGGCATTTTTGCTTCTACCTGCTCTGTCTATTCTTCTCACTCAGAATCCAGGAGGGCCGGAACTGTTTATCTTTTATCTACCATCGTGCCTGGCCCAGAAGCCTTGCTAAATATTTGAATTGGATCGCCTGCACATTGAGTTTGTGTGTGGTAGTGTTTGTGGACAGACGCCTGTCCTCTGTAGCTCTAGGCTGGGAACAATTTGTGTCCTGGAGTAGCTGCCTCATCTGTTTATTTTTTATCCCCTTTTAGATACTTTGTCTGCTGCGAGAATGTAAGATGGATCCAGAAGAGCAGGAACTATTAAATGACTATCGATACAAAAGTTACTCTTCAGTGATCGAAAAGGCTTTAAGAAATTTTGAGTCCTCCAGTGAATGGGCGGATCTTATCTCTTCACTGGGCAAGCTCAACAAGGTATGTGGGCAGGGCATGTTTGAATTGCATGGTGGCAGGGACACAGCCTTCCTTTTACTTTTTTAATTGATTGTCTTATTATTACACTATTGTTAACCAATCTAAAGGATTGTCTTATTATTACACCACTGTTAACCAGTCAGTCTACATACTTCCTTCCAGCTTTCTTTCCTGAGCATAGAATTATAGTGTGGAGATAGTAGAATAGCTGAACAGTCCAGTCAGTTACTCAAAGATGAATTGTTCTGCCCTAGCTGGTGTAGCTCATTGGTTAGAGTATTGGCCTGTGGACCAGAGGGTCACGGTTTCATTTCCAGTCAAAGGCACGTACCTGGGTTGCAGGTTCGATCCCTGGCTCCAGTCAGGTCACATATGGGAGGCAACCAATTGATGTCTCTCTCTCACATCGATGTTTCTCTCTCTCCCCTTCTCCCCCTCCCTCCCACTTGCTATAAAAATCAATGGAAAAAAATATCCTTGGGTGAGGATTTAAAAAAAAGATGAATTGTTCTTTATGTACTACTTAGGATTTATATGACTTTTTCTTTGGTTTACTTTTTTGACCATTTTCCTGCTGATTGGTAACTCCTGGGAGAATAAAGGGTGAAATAAATATTGAAATCTGCCCAGAAATTGTGGGTGTTTGGACAAGGAAAAGGGGTCAGATCTAGGAAGACCAAAACTGGTCACATGCAGGCTTGACCTTGTGTTCCATAGATGTGACCATTGTATTTTCCCATGCTGTCCAGAAGGAGGATGACACAGTAATGGCCAAGTACTCAGATGACCACTGTGACCATAGTTAGAAGATATCAGCTTGAAGAGGCTGCACTGGCTCTGTGGCTGTCGGGCCAGGACTCCTGGCTGGGAAACTTTGGAGCCCCAGTGCTATGTGGGAGTTGGGGGTACCCAACCCAACTCTGCAGCTCTCCAGTCCCCAGGTCACAGACATGGGGGACTCTACCAAACCTCACTAAAGGGAAAGAATTTCTCCATCTGCCCATTCAAGGAATAGGGTGGGGAGTGAAGAATGCCAGCGGGCTGACCGTGGTGCAATGCCTGGGCAGCAGTCCAGCCCGGGTGCACTTACGGGTGGCTGTCAGGCATGGCACAGATAGGCACTGATTATAGGCAGTGGCCGGGAAACTGTATGATGTCCTGCAAGGTATATTTACAACCTGTGGATGTCATGCTGGGTACTGGCTGGGATGGACATATGTCAGAAGAGAGCAAATAAGAGCCTGAGAGTTAGGTTTTAGGGCTCTAACTCAAGAATTCTCAAGCTGAGATAACACGCACCATCTTGTCTGAAGGTGCCTTCCTTTGTTAGGGGCAAGGGAGAAACGCTGGAGTAGGATTTTTAGGGGTACTCAGGTTCTTCCAAATGTTTTGCTGTTTTAGTTCTTGACTTTCCTGGAATTTAAAAATAGCATACGGTACTTATTTTGGGAGGGTGTGTGCATTATTTTTATGTTGAGATAAAATTTATAAAATTTACCATTTAACCATTTTAGAGTGTATCGTTAAGGGGATTTTAGTACATTCACAATGTTGTGAATGGCCACTACCTAGTTCTAGAACATTTTCACCATCTTGAAAGGAAATCCTTTCCACCCCTCCCCTGCCCCAGCTCCTGGCAACCACTGATATACTTTCTGTGTCTATGGACATTTCATAAAAATGGAATCATACATTAGGTAGCCTTTGTGTCTGGCTTCTTTCACTTAGCATGTTTTCAGGGTTCATCCATGTTGTAAGTTATATCAGTACTCTATTCCTTGTTATGGCTGAATAATATTCCATTGTAAGGGTAGACTGCATTTTGTTTACCCATTCATCCATTAATGACATTTGGGTTTCCACGTTTGGACTGTTTAGTACTGCTATGAACATTTATGTACAAGGTTTTGTTTGAACACCTGTCTTTACTTCTTTGGGGCATACATATACCTAGGAGTGGAATTCAAATGCACATTATCAAGTACAGTTGTGACCCTTCTTTATGGAGCTTTTAAAGCATTGGCCATTCCTTCCTTCATTCTTTCATTCATTCATTCAGTAGGTAGTACCTCATGCCAGTACTGTTCCAGCCATAAGGGTACAGCAGAGAACAAAGGGGAAGCTGGATGATAAAATATATGGGATCTTAGATAGATGAATATTGTGGGAACAGTAAAGAAGGGAGGGAGGGGACAGTAAGTGTTGGGGGGAATGGCATGGTATTAAATGGACTCATCAAGGAAGACCTTGCTGAGAAGGTGCCATTTGACCAAGTTGAGAGGCTGTGGTGTGTCTGAGGCCAGTGGGATCACAAAGCAGGAAAGGGATGGGGAGAGCGTAGGAGATGCGGCCACAGAGGCAAGAGGTAGGGAGGGTTCCTGATCTTGTAGGTCTGTTAAAACTGGAATCTGCCCTGGCCGGTTTGGTTCAGCGGTTAGAGCGTCGGCCTGCGGTCCTGAGAGACCCGGGTTCAGTTCCCGCTAAGGGCACGTACCTCGGCTGCAGTTTGTCCCCGGCCCTGGTCATTTGTGCGGGTGGCAGCCACTCGATGTGTTCCTTTCACATCGATGTTTCTCTCTCTCTCTTCCTCTCTCTCCCTCCCACTCTACCTGAACAAAAAATGGAAAAATGTCCTTGGGTGAGGATAAAAAATAAAAATAAAAACAAAACTGGAATCTGACAGTGGCCACCGAGTCAGCAGGGAGCCCTTGAGGAGCTGAGCAGAGAGGAATGGCTGGGCTTCCCTTCTAGTATGCGAGAACCATTTCCACTGCGGTAGAAAATGGGAGGGGTAAAGGAGGCAGAAACAGGGACACCATTCAGGAGCTGTTGCTGTATTGTGGTGGTGTCATGGGGCAGTGTTTGGATTCTGGATATACTTCAAAGGTATAGCTAACAGGATTTGCTTGTGGATCGGATGTGGGATATGAGAATAAGAGGAGTCAAGTGCGACTCCCAGGTTTTCTTTCAGGTTTTCAGCTTGAGAAGATGCAAGGATGTGATAGGGAGACCGGGGAGGAGCTGGCTCCATGGGTGGGCAGGGAGACTGGGGTCACTTTGGGACGGGTTAGTGTGAGGCGTCTGGTAAGGGTTGCATAAGCAGTTGGATGAGTCGTATTGAATAAAAGTTTAGAAGCGCAACTTTTTGTTATAGTTGGTACCCAGTTCTATATAATCCCACTGTGTCCTCTTTGCTCTACCTTCCTGTTTTGCTGCTATGATTAGGCAATGAATGAGAGTAACCCACTTGAAAAATTTACAAGACATCAGTGGGATGAGGGTGACACTGCCCCTACCTTAGCCCTGTCTGTGACAGGTGACATTCATAGAGAGCATACTGTGTGCTAAGGACCTGACATGCATTACTGTGTAATACTCACAGCCTATCTTGAGATTGGTCTCAGACTAAGCAACTGGCGCCAGGCCATAGCCAGCAAGAGGCAGAGGAAAGGCTCAAACCCTGGCTGCCTGGCTCCAAAGCCCAGCTCTTGAACTTTTTTCATGTCAGCGTCTGGGAGGCTCACAAGGGGCCAAGGTGCACCTCTTAACTGTAAGGGGCACTATCTTTAGTATTCAAATGAGGTAGCTGCAGTTATTAGCCCCCTTTTACTGATGAAGGTTAATTGTCCAATGTCATATGGCTATGGTTTTTATGAGTTGAATTGTATCCTCCAAAAAAAATTGAAGTCCTTCCTATTCCCCAGCACCTCAGAATGTGTCCTTATTTGGAGATTGGGTCTTTCCAGTTAAAATGAAGTCATTTAGGATGGGTCCTGGTCCAATATGATTGGTGCCCTAATAAGAAGGGGAAATTTGGACTCAGACATGCATATGGGGAAGACACCATGTGAAGATGACGGCAGAGATCAGGGTGATGCAATTACAAACCAAGGAACCGAAGATTGCCAGCTGACCACCAGAAACCAGAGGAGCCTCCTGGAGCAGATCCTCCTTCACAATCTGAGAAGGAACCAGCCTGCCCACACCATGACCTTGGACTTCTGGTCTCCAGACTGTGAGAGTCCCTTTCTGTTGTGCTTGATGTGTGGTGCTTTGTTACAGCAGGCCTACCAAACTGATGCGTGATAGAACCAAGATAGCAACACCTGGGTGCTGCGGAGGACAGCACTGAACACAGAGTTCCTGCTCTCAAGGAGCATAAGGCTTTGGTGGCAGGAGACAGGCAACAAAAAAAAATGTGATGTTGGGTGCTGACTGCTAAGAAGAAAAATAAACTAGGGAAGGAAGGTGGATAGGGTGCTGGTTTAGACAGAGATGGCTCTGTGATAACGTGACATTTGAGATTTGAGCGGAGGCCTGGATGCAGTGAGTGAGCTGGTGGGGAGACCATCTGGGGAATGGGCCTGTGTCCAGGCTACAGTAAGGGGAGGGTGTGGCTGGGCAGATCGGTGAGGGGAGATGAGGGAGGAGAGGTAGCCAGGGCAGATCATGAGTTTTGTTCTGGGAGGGAGAGAGGCATGGAGCTTCTAGGGAGGTTTCGAGCAAGGTGACTGCTGCCTTACCTCTTAGGAGAACCCCTCTGGCTGTTGCGTGGAGAGTGAACCCGAGCCTGGGAGCCTGCCCAGGTGGCAGCGGACAGCTTCAGCACCCAGAGGAGAGTTACTGGACATGGGGAATTTGAGAAGGCACCGGAGGGAGCAAGCCTCCGTTAGTGTTAGTGATTACCTCTGCATTCCAGGACACCTCGTGGGAGTTAGTGTGAATAAAGAATTTCGTTAAGGCTTTAGTGGTGGTTAGATTTCTTGGACTCATTCATGTACACAGAAATTCAGTGAGTAAATCAGTGATGAATCAGCAAATATTTTTATAATAAAAATAGATACTATTGTCTACAAGGTTAGGTCAAGATGCTTTCTAATCAGAGATGATTGAGGTTATCAAACATAAACTATGGACTCGACAGAAGGCTCACCTTGACAAATGAGAGCCCCAAAAGGTCTTGGTTTGTCAGACTATATACAGGTTCTAATTGCATCATT